GTATATAACTGAAGCAAACAGATTTGTAAAATGCTATATAAATGACTCAAACGAACAAACGAGTAATCATTAGATTTTTGTATACAATTTTACAATGAAATTCTATTGGCTGCTGCTCTCGGACATCTGTAAGGGTTGTGAGGGTAATTAAATCTGTCATTATATAATGTATCCTCTAATTTTTCAGTTTCATTGTGGAAATGCTACTGGTAAAAGCTGAAACAAATGTATCCAATGAGGCATCTCGGAAGGGAAACAAATCACAGCCGCATCATAAAAGTCTGTAATGCCATTGCGTCCTCATACTCATTCTGCAGGTATGTCCAAGTCTTGAGCACTTTTACTTGTCGTGCTAAGCATTAATCGAAATTCGTTTCATACAATAGCTGTTTGATTAATTTCGCAGCTAATTTGGTTAATTAAATTTAGATATTTCCGCTACGTGACAGGGCCAACCTGATGCTTGAATTATTAATATTTATACAAATATGCAATATATACAAAAATATATTTCTTTGCTGTTGTTTTCACGCCTCGCAGCTGACGTGCCAAAGTTTCCAGCTGCTCTCTGCACAAGAGATATAAATATATATAATACAATCGATGGCAGACAACAACTTTTTTTTCGTCTCTTGCTTGAGCTGTGTTTCGGGCGAAAACATTTTTGGCCAAGTTGTGAAACAAAATGCGTAAATCTCTTTAGTTGGCTCATAATTATGACATTAAGCGGCGATGCGTCTTGAATTTTAATTGGCATGCCGTCAGGGGCTATATTGTATATATTATTATTGTTGTTATTGTTGTTGTTTTATGTTTATTAATAAATAATTCTTGAACAGTGCTAGCGGGCATGCCATAGAACGCTTTATGGCTGTGATACACATGTTCTGGGCCAGCTCCCTCCTCCCTCAACACAACGAAAATGGCCAGAAACCGTTAACAACAAATGGCCTGTTGATTGCCGAAGCCAGCGAGAGCCAGAGCCAAAGACAGAGACCGAACGTAGCATTTAATTAAACTTATTCAAAAAAGAACAAACACACACACACACATAGAGCTTTGATCAATATAATGGAGCACGACTGTTAGGGGGGCGCTTAAAGAACAGCTATTCAAACGAATTCCAAAGAATTTCTAATTCGTTTCTTTCAGTTGAGTTTGTTTTGATTGTTATCAGATTACAAATTCTGATTATTCATAAGCACGTTAAAAAAAAACTTTTTTTTTTTAAATAATTCTAATTACACGTGAACATTTTAAAGAAATTACTTTGAAATTACATTGCAATGGCATTTAGTTTGGACATTTTCCAGCTGCTTTATCACTATCCTTTAGTGGATCTGCAGCTGTCGAATCGTTGTGTTTATTACGCAGCGTTGACCCGAATTGCTTTCGCATCTCAATTGAGAGTTGCATAAAACTAAATGAGGCTCGAATTTTATGGCAAGTAAAAACCAATTCGATTGCCAACAAGGCTTTTTATTTTGTTTATTTGTTGTTGAACCAGGTCTGTTTCTTTCGTTTATGACATTTGTTTACACTGGAAACTAAATTAAAGCGTCATGAAAATGCGATAATTTTTGCTGCTGCTCTTCAGTGTCATTGCCATTGTTGCTGTTGTACAATTGAAAGTGTTTGTGTGCATTAGATAAGCACTTTGAGTGCCCTTCGCACGCCTAAACTTTCGCGTGGATAGTGGCGAATAAATTTATTTAGTTGCCGCATAAAAGTTGACTTATTCCATTGTTGCCGACAATAAATGTAATGTTTGATAATAAGCGACAACAGCAGCAACAACAACAGCAGCAACAGCAACAACTTCATTTGCAATTTCCGTGCGATTGTCTTCGAGCTGTGTTGTAGCTGTCTGCTGCTGTTGGCATTGCAACATTTTGCCTCTGATATCTATCAGCAGCAACAGCAGCAACAACACCGACAACAACTGAATAAAGTTATTAGCGCATTTAACTGAGCCAACGGCTGTGAATTGCTCCTCCTGCCTCCTGCCTTCTGCCTTCTGCCAACCACTCCACTCTGGCAGCATCCTCAGTGTTCGTTCGTTATGCGAACACTTGCACATAGCACATCGCATTGTTCGTCTGGCCAGCAGCGAATGCAATTTCCATTTTAATTACTTCCAAATGACAACAGCAACAACTAAAACAGCAACAACAACAACTACTAAAACTGCAGCCGGCTGAGAGTCTGAGCCGTTGGGCAGACATTTGGCAGACAAACAGCAACAATAATTGCTGGCGGTGGCGCATGCGCCGTAACAGCAGCAACAGCAGCAACAACAACAATTGAAATAGAGGCAAAAATTAGTCACACAATTCAAGACTTGTTAAAAATGCCAGCAAACACACAGGCGGTTTACATATAGAGTTTGTCTAGTTAAATATTTAACCAGAATTTGGAGCATTGAAAGAGGGCTTGTTGAGGCATAAAATATATGAGGAGGATGTAATTAGGTAAAAGTAGTTTGCTATATTGTAAATATAAAGAGAATGAGAGAGAGAGAGAGAGAGAGAGAGAGAGAGAAAGAGAAAGCTAGAGAGAGGGAGAATGAGAGAGAGAGAGAGGGAGAGATAGAGAAAGAATATATATCATATAGACTACTTCATACTCTTATCGTGAAACATTGTCGAGCTTTTATTTCACTTAGGATTATAATAGTTTCTGTGCTCAACTAACTCCAAAATCAAAATCAGCTTATAGCAAATTCTTAATCTATAGTCAATTTTAATTTTTATAAAAATTAAATCACCTCAATTATTCGTTAAGCAAAAATATTATATACACATTTACAAACTATTGTGACGGCCCTCGCTGATATAGAAATCTTCACACTATGCGCGTCGCTGCTAATAAAAATGCGAATTAAAATTCGTGTTGCTGCTGTTGTTGTTGTTGCTGCTGCTGCAATTGTATATCGTTTTCGTTGTCGTTGTAGTTGTTGTTGTAGTTGTTGTTGCTGGTGACACTTGCCGTTTGCTGTTGTTCGCGTTGTTCGCATTGTTGTTGCTGTTGCTGTTGTTTCTTTATTTGTGCATTTTCTGCATAAATATTTCAACACTTTCGCTTTTGTTTTGTGTCACACAGCAAAAAATAAAAATTGGTTTTAATTATTCCCAACGCAGAGCGCCGCGGCCTGGCCCACCTCGCAGCACACCTGGCCC